ACTGTACTTTTTCTGATGACAACAGTGTCATGCCAGTAATCTATGTAACTCCATTCAGGGAAAATATTTGAATTGAATTCATATGACTTCCAATCTAGATCAAAAGTTTGTATATAGTTAATTTGGGCCTCCTGTCCATAATTTTTCCGTATTTGGTTTTGACATTCATCTATCTAACACTGTTCTTGAGATTAAGGAAGGACAGGCAGGCAGATGGATTACATTGGGAATTTATAGGTTAGAGTTTTTTCAAATTGTAGCCCAATAATAATAGAATATTGCAGAATTTATTATATTGTATTAGTGAACATTTATTGCATGTTTTGAAGGAGAAATAAAATATGAAACAATTGCAACAATCTTTTTGAAAAAGCTTTAACTAGGATTTGTCAGCAATTCCAGATATATTTATTGAATTTTATCTGAATATATGCATTTTTGTATAGAAAACAATTATTTAATGTTCAATCCATAATTATTGCTTTCTACACAAAAGTGTTACTGCATATATTCTATGGTATCTATTTGAATTTCTTAGCTTCAGTCTGTTTTGAAACATATAACATGCAAAACTGTTTTGAATAAATTACTTTTCCTTATACTGTAATTCAGTAGTATATAAACTGGCTTTCTTGTCTGATGATGTCTCACATTTTTACTATTAACTTTTTATAATTTTTGTCAAATGTTTACTACAATTTTTCAGATATGACGGAGCTCTTGAAGCTCTTGAAAATGAATTGTTCTGGCTTTCAATAAAATTGTCAGACTCCCAGAAACTATATTAAAAATGTTCTGTAATTCTATACATTTGATTTATGAAATGACTAAATGAGCAAAGAACAAATCATAAGATTTTTAAAGAATACATGCTAGTTTCAAAATCTGTGATGTCTACTTCATTTTGCAGTAATGATTAAGATTTTTTAACAGATTAGAATTGTGAAGCTAAACTCTTTCTAATTCTATTGATTTATCACTGCAGTGTGTTTTTTTCCTAAACTTTGTTTGACATGAAAAAGCTAGTTTAGGAATACAAAAACTCTATTATTATTTATATTCTTAAATTAATATGAAAATAAATGAGTAAGAGTAAACTCAAATTTTAAAATATTTTGAACAGCTTTATGGCTCATGGTGTGTATAGCTTCTTAAGGAGATTAGATTGATTATTAAGTTTTTTTATTCTAATATATTATCTTTTAAATTAACAATTACATCTTAGGAATATGTAAAATCTTTTAATAATAAACTGAATTATCACAGTATAGTGCAATGTTCTGAATATTTATAATATTCAATTGGAATTGAAAGTATAATTATTTGTAGTTGGTTAAATCAATTAGCTTTTAGTTGTTCTAGCTTGACTGCACATAAAACAGTGATCTTGCACATAATCACTTTTTGATGGGAGATAAGCCACCTATATTCTGTTTCGTGCCTGTGCTTTAACAATTAAACATATTTTAATTGTCATATATTTTGGTCTGCCTATATAAAGCATTTAACAGTTAACCTTTTAGCCTTTTATAAATACTTGAAAAACTTTTAAATCAACTGTCTCTAAGTTTTACAGTTGCTCTGATTTTAATCCTTTTTGACTTTCTACTGTTGTCCCCATATTTTACTTTGTTATCCTCAATTTGAAAAAAATTGTAGACCTATAAATTCCTATTGTTGTCTGTCTGTCTGTCCATCCTTCCTAATCTCAAGAATGGTGTTAGATAGATGAAAGTTGAGACCGGATATTGAAAGCTTGGCAGAAGGCACCAATTAACTACAGTAGAGCATCGTTTATCCAAAGGTCGGTTATCCAAAACGTTGGTTATCCGAAGAAATTCCAGTCGACAAATTTAAATTTTTGCCAGTGCTGTGGCGCTGTAATCTTTGGCTATGTCTTCGGCTACTCAAATATTTTACGTTTTTGATACTAAATTAACTTCTGAAGTATAATTTTTTTTTGTTTTTATNGATTAATTTTTTACTTTCAGATAACAAAACAAGATCTCTTTTTCAACGTAAGTTAGTTTTTTTGTTTATTTTGAATTCATCTAAATTATGATTTTGTTTTACTTATTAGAGGTGTATGTATATAATCATTTATAATTTGAATTTTTGTTTTGATTTTGTTTTTATTATGTTCTTTTTAGTTGCTTGAGAGAGAGAGGATCAGAAAGAAAGGTTACAAACTTAGTTTCATACACTTTTTATACACTTTTTATTAACTTTGTCTGTCTATCCAGATAAAGTAACTCAATTTCCACATACACCCCAATTTCTGATCTGTTTGAAACTTTGCATACATATTTATTTCTGATAATGATGATATTTTTTGGAGTTTGCAAAAAATTTTAGTAATTAGCAAAAAATTAAAATTTTTTAAAATCCGATAACAGATGGCACTATATGTAGTACAAACTATTGCCCGTTTTTAACTGTACTGACTACATAAAATCTTGTAACTCAATTTTTCACTCAATTCTCAATTAAATGCTAAAACAAGAATAATTCTGATAATTCAGTGTTAAACATATAAAAATAAAAGATAGAAAATAAAAATATAAAAAAGGTTTAAAGAAATGCTTTTTATTTACATAAATGCACTAAAAGTATAAAAATAAATTTTATTCAGTTTTCGCAGTATTCTTGGTATTATGTAACCAAAAATAAAAATTTGGGATACTTGTGGAAAGCTCAAAAATTGATAGAAAGTGTAACTAAGAATATTTCTAAACATGACCACCCCACTTGTACAACAGCAAGAATACTGTGAAAACTTGCGAACATTTAATTTTTTACTTTTTAGTGTATTTGTGTGACTACAAAGTGTTTCTGTAAAACTTGTCTATATTAATAAATAATACTAAAGAACTAGTAGTATTTTTCATCTGGAATGCATCAGTATGCTGTACTAGCAGTTGCTCACAAAAATACTGGCAGTAAGCCAGTGTGCATACATGGCATACCTATAGAATTGTTTTTAGAAAAAGAGCATTGTACAGAACCAATTATATAAATTAAAGCCTAATAATATAGTGTTTTTTCTACATAGCCACTAAAAATGTTTAAACCCTTTATTGCTACATTAGATGAGCTTATTTATTTCATCAGCTTAGAATTCCTGTTCCTAGTGATTTAATAATACTGTAAATACAATGTTTCACATTTGATGTGAAAAGATGTCTGTTCAAGTGATTTTTCAACTTGGAGGGGAGAAAAACCGGAGGTTCTAGTCTGCTGTGTGATATCTACTTGCCAGATACGACTCGTGATGCCTGATGGGATAGGTATATTGTCATTTTGCTAGAACTTCTCTGTAGCTAAGTCTGTATAATGAGGTTTTCTGAGTGTTATATGATTATCCATTACATTTGACTCTTCACCTGCTTGCTACGTAGAACAACTCACATGACCACCTGCTAACTTAACCCCCAGTCTTTCCAGGCAATTTCTTTTTTATCAATGCTTTTTGTTTCACATTATCTTTGAAATCATTTAATATCTATGAAAAAGTTTATAAATTAAATCATTTGGTTGTAGTCTATTAATACATGTTATATTAAAAATGTGTGTTCGTATCAAATGTAAATATAACTTTTAAAATTGATTTTCAAGTATGCTTACCAAAGATTTGATGGTATATTACAAGATGTTTTTTTTATGATTCACATAGATTTTTCCGAATTTACTATTAAATATTTAATGTACAGAATAGAATATTAAATATTTAATGTACAAACGTTAGAGACTCTTTAGTTTAAACATTATATTGCTAATTAAAATTAATGTTCAAATGAGCTTTGTAAACCTCATTTAAACAATATATTGGTTAATTAACAACTTTACAAAATCTTAACTCTATCACCAAGAAGACTTACAAACTAGTTAATATTTGACATCAACTTATGATAGTGAGTTGTGTCGACAGTGACATTTACCAAATGTTGTTCAACAACAACTCGCATAGGAGACTAGAGCCCCAGATCCTGATTGGGGATAACTGAGAGAATCTCTCATCAAAATTGCTGCAAAACATCTGAGTTTTCTGTACTGTATTTAGGCAGTATTGTCAATAAGAAAAATGTTTTTCTTGTTAAAGAGACCAGGATATTTTCTTCTAATGACTTCTGTAAGCATTTCGATGTCACAGTATCTTTCAGCTGTAATTAAATCTTCAGTAATCACACACGCTGAAGACAGGTTGATGAATCACAATCTAGTTGCTCTTAAGTCAGATTCACATCTTCTGACTGTTTTATTTGAAAAAGTGAATCTCAAAATCAATATAAATAAAACGCATGTCAAGTGTTTCTCTTTAATCTGGAAATATTGTCTTTTGTTATTGAAAAAAATACTATACAATATGTGAATTCATATAATGATTTTGCTATCATTTTTGACAATAAATTAACATTTAAAAGCCATATAGAAAAGATTTTTAAAGTTCTTTCAATCCATTGTGGAATCTGATAGTGTTTTTATAAACCCATCTCTTCTAAAATTGTTTTGCACTTCATTTTTTCCATTAATTTTCAATTCCTCATTGATTACTGTTTCCCATCTGATCTATGACTGCCCCTTCCTTTCTTGATAAAATTTCAAGAGATATGGCAAAGTTTTAATGCTTAATAAATTTTGAGACTTATCTTTCACTCATACACTGAACATAACTAGAATTAGACTAGGACTTTCCACACTTAATGAATCAAATACTTTGACTGTTTAAAATATTTTAATGATTTTATTTTGTCTAAATGGTTTTGCCTTAGAGAAAGAAATGCTCATAATTTATCTTGTATTTACACTCCATTTTCTCATTTACCTATTTCTCATAGATCCTTTTTATATGTGATGATAACATCACATTGTCAACAATATGAATAATTTGTTTATCCAACACAATATAGTGCAACTTAACGGTCACTTGGCTTTCTTTATTCTAGTTGATTGAATCAACTAGAATAAAGGTGAAAGAAAGCCAAGTGATTGTTAAGTTGCACTACATTGTGTTGGATAAACAATAGAAATAGAACATGACACGTTTCAAATTGATAAATATGAATAATATCAAACACATACTCCATGTTGAATACTTATGTTATATAAAGTCTTGTAAACATATTCTTTGTGTTTTAAATTTTTGTAATTACATTTTATTTTGTTTTTGCTGTTGTAAATTTTTAGGATTTTGTGTATATTATATTTTAAGTATGTTTTCTTTTGTATTTTGTTTAAGGATTATTTTTGTTGATGTGAGGAAGGAGATCTGTTCTTTCAAGGCATTTCCTATTATAAATGTAATAATAAAAAAATGAACATATTATTTAATAATTTATTTGTTTCAGAAATTCTACCAATAGCATATCAAAGACACCCAAAGACTTGGCCATTCTCTTCAGCTAAATTTACCTATCACAAATTAGTGGAGAGAGAAATTATTTTTTTCCTGTTGTATGATTTGTAGAAGTGACTGTTCAGTATTTTTTATTTTATTTTTTTCTATGCTTTATTTTGACGTACTAAAATGTGGAATCCACCTAACAGTACTATAACGGAGATACATTGGCCAATACTATATAACAGTCCCCTTGCAAATTATGTATTCATTATATATCATTGTTAATGACTCTCCTATTGAATTAATTTCTTAATGTGGCAGTGTTTTTCCATTATGGAGCTGCTTGGTCTCCTGCTGAAGTGTCATTATGCATGGAGTTCCTGCTGTCTGCCAAAAACTACTATAATTCAGCAACATGTTGAGTAAGTGTCAGTGTTTTCATGGTGAATATTTGCTGTTGAAACTTTTTGTCCTCAAAAAAAAAAAACAAACAAACACAAACATGTACTGTATTGGCCCAAATATTAGTTGATGTTTTACAGAGTTAAACTGATGATAAAATTTGGTGTATCAGTAGTTTAGGAATTCTATATGCAAGTTGCGATATGTGATGCTGCAGCCCACAAACATTAAAGAGGAATTAAATGTTTGGCACAATTATAAATAACTGATTAGTCAATTTTTTTTGAACAATCAATAAACTAAAAAAAAAAAAAATTGGCGTTGGCTTAGTTTTTGTCATATTTAACGGAAATCAGTCAGTTTTGGTAACTTTATTTTACTCCTAGGATCCTCTATTGATACTAATTGAGTAACTGTCAAAGAAAAAAATTGGGGAAAAGTTGCTGAAAATTTACCACAAAATGTATTCTATTTAAAAAATTATTTCAGCAATTTAATAGTGCTGTTTTTTCCAAAATTATCATGATGACTTCTGTATGTTTATAACTTTTTGTTTTTGTTCTTTTTAAATACCTTTAACAAAATGCATTTCAGACTCATATTGTCCCTTTTCAGTTGTTATACAGTTGTTACATATTAAAATTTGGTGTACAAATTAAATGATTAAATACATATTTGGCTTTCAAATCTTCAAATACATTATTAAAATCAACATGACATATACCATAAGATAAGCTTACATTTAAAGTATAAATAAAACATAAAATGAAAGTTTATTCTGTTATAAAGTGTAAATTTCTATTGTAATTATAAATTTTGTATTTGATATGATTGTTTTAGACTTTATAAAAAAAAAAAAAAAAATAGACAAGCAAAAACAAAAGTTTTATTTTCTATAATCATAGAACAAGTATATTTTTTGGAATGTACGTGACAAAAGCAAGAAAGCCTATTTCCCCTGGCTGATGTACTTTACGTTATATGCTGGAGAGCCTGTTCTGCTACATAGGATAGTCTCCTGATTTTTCTCTATAACTTTTATTTATTTCATTTTTATTGATATTGATAGAAAAGAAGCAATAAGTTAATTTGTTTCTTATAATATAAGTATCCACTGCACACATTTTTTTTTCTATAAAACAAGCCCTTTGAGTACAATTCTGATTCACTAGCTTGGGTGGCCAACAATTTTTGCCCCGGGCATAATTGGAAAGAAAACTTTTTCCACAGGCCGAACCAGAGTCTGCTCCCTAGGAAGATTTTGAAGTAGTGCGAGATCTCATTGTGATATCACCCCATAGAGACTAAATTGTACATGGATATTACAGATACATTTTTCACATTATCATGCTTTATCAACATTCTATGCTGCACTTAAGAGATTTGTGATGGAGGGTCAACTCTAAACATACAGTGTATTGTTGACTTTTTTTTTTTGTGTGTCAGAATTTTTCATTAAGTTATTCGGACTTGAGTAGATAATATTGAAAGATTAATTGTGGGCCACATAAATTTACTAGACGGGCCGTATGTTGGCCATGCCTGCACTAGCTATAAAAGGAAGTAATTAAAAATTTATTTATGCTGATTAATTTTCAGGTATTTGTAAATACAAATTATAAAAGCTTTCATTTATAACTAAAGTAACTTTGAGAAAAAGAACTGTATTTGTGAAATCAACCAATTTTCATAATCACATAGGTAAAAGGTAATAAAACTTCCACATATTCTGTAAAAGAATAACAGTAGAACTAAGATTGTTGGGAAAGATTCAATTATAAAGGGCGTTAGGAAATATTGTGTTATCAACAACTTGGACAGAATGGAAGATGTACTGTACTGTCCAAGGATGGTGAAGAGCATGATGTGATGAAATAAGAAACGGATGATAAGTTCTGATAAAGACAAAAGTGAAATATTGTTTCTATGACTTACCAAATTTTTTAACTGAAAATTGTTAATTTTTTGTATGAATATAACAATAATAGGTGGTCAACTTACATTTGGGTCCTAACTTTTTTCAAAAAGTAAGGATTTTAAAATTGGGAGTTGGCTTATATTTGGTACAATATGATAATTGCTCAGCTTCTGTACAAGAACAAGAATGCAACTTAATTTCCATTTTGAACTGTGTTATTTCTGTTGCTGTTTGTGCATTCGTCTGTTAACCGTGCTGTCAGTTGGGTACTGTGCATTGTAATAAATATATAATATTCTACAATGTTCTATGGATTTACTATCTAAAGTGTAAAATGTAAACCTTGCTTTCTGATTCATCATTTTATCATTAAAAACTTGCAATGAATTTCTATAAATTTTTAGTAGCTCAAATTTAATGATCAAATTTTTTATAATTTACATACTGATGTTTGTTAAAATCTTTCTAGCTTTATTAAGACAAGTATGTAAACAGAAAATATATACACTCATGTTTGTGAAAATTGCAACACCATGAAGGAATTGTCAGAAATTAATGAAATTTATTCCACATATTACTGATAGTAGTACAAATAAACAATCAAATTTACAAGACAAAAAAACAAAAAGAACGTCGGAAATCAGTACTTTGTGTGTCCACCACACTGAGCGATGAGAGCCTGTACACATCGTGGCACTGAATCATACAGGTTCTCAATGTAATCATGGGGAATGGCATTCCAGATAGCTTCGACTTGATGCCAAAGTCCAGTCTTATTGTGTGCCCCACCAGCTGTATGAGCAAGTCGCCGACCAATGAAATCCCAGATATGCTTGATGGGTGACATATCCAGGGAATAAGCAGGCCATGGAGGAAGCAAAACCTGTTGTGCATTGAAGAAGGCTTGTGCAATCTGAGAAACATGTGCACGGGCATTATCCTGCTGAAATACAACACCCGGAATGTGTCGAAGAAGGGGGAAAGCCTGTGGCTCCACAATTTCCCGTATGTAGCGATCACTGTTGAGGTTGCTTGCAATGTGCACTAGATGGGATCTAAAATTATATCCAATAGCTCCCCACACCATGACGTCAGGCATTTGTGCGGTATGATGCTGGATAACACACTGTGAGAGCAGACATTCCCCACTATAACGTCTGACGTGTACTCTTCCATCATTGTACTGCAGATTGTAGCGAGATTCATCGGAAAAAACGACTTGTTGCCACTGGGCACACCACGCGCTGTGTTACTGAGCCCATTGAAGTCAAAGTCGTCTGTGAATCTGCGAGAGGGGAATCCTTGCATGCAGTTCATGCTGCTGCAGCAGACGGTGGCGAACCGTGGTGCTAGACAACAAAACACCTGTAGCCATGCTCCAGTGTTGTGCTAACACACGAGAGGACGCTGTATGGTCTGTCACAGCCATGCGGATGTCGTCCCATGCCATTGTGTTATTGCTTGCCCTACTGCCATGTTTTCACCTTATTTGATTCTCCTCTGTCCATTTCTTCCAAATACGCTTCACTGTTGTGGCATTACCACTGCGTGCGGGCTGTGATTTCTTGATACGAAAATCCACTTGCATACCGATGATGCGGCCTTGTTTGAACTCCGTTAGTTGTTGGTATGGCTTCTTCTGCTTTTGACGAGGCATATTGACCACCAATGAAACATTTACCGCAGACAGAGGAAGATAAAAGGATTTCAATGCATCTTTATAGTCCTTTATATACCTGGAACAAGCAGCTGATAAGGAGCTGGTTCTCATTCTACGCATGTGCAATCGCTTTGTAATTCTACTCATTTCATGTCTTACCTCACTTTACATTTCCTGTAAGTTTGATTCAATTTGCACAATTCCTTCATGGTGTTGCAATTTTCACAAACATGAGTATAGATTAACTACAACATGCCTCACTCTAGTGCCAAATTCATTTGTAATTTATAATTATTTATCCAAAATATAGCCCGTTCATTTACGGCTGTTGTAGATGTATTAACACTAATAAAAATGAGTTTTTCATTTGAATCTTAATTGACTAAAATAGATGAAATTTTGTATACAAAAGTAAAAATTCTCATTCTGATTATAATGAATGAATGTTAGTATGTTTTGGAGTTCGGCATTTTAATTTAAATAAAGTCCACATCAACTCATAATTTTTAAATGAACTTATTTTTTTATTTACTTTAATCACATTAAGTTTATTTCAAATTTATAAAGTATGAATAGTTTAAATAATATAATGAAATCTGTATAAAAATAATTGAAATACTTTAACAAGATTAAAAAATTTATGCATTATTTATTTTCTGTTTAAATTGAAGTTCATATAATATAAAATTTTCTAATTGAATTGATATATTTTATTTAAAAATAGAAAGTTAAGTTTGTTTATAATATTCTCTTGTTTCTCTATATAGCAAGTACAAAATTTAATACAATATTTTGCTGTATTGCTAAAATTTCATATTGAAGTATCAGTTGCCATTTAATTACATTTCCACTGAACAGACTCCAAAGTTATAATAAAATGAAATATTTAATTGTTATAACTCTAATAAAACACTGAAAATTAATGTAAAATTTATAGTATTGATAAATTTTTCAAATAACATTTCCAATGTGGAACAAAATTATGTTAACTTTGTACATGAGAATTTAGAATATTGATTAGAGAATTCCAGATCTGAACATAATAATTTAAATATTTAAAAAGAAAAAAAGAATTAAAAATTATTAAAATGGTCATTTAAAAGTAATATGCTTTTAATCTTATTATCTATATAAGTAACTTAATAATACAGAATAATATGTAATACAGTTTGAAATGAATTTCCAGCAAGATAATTTTATTAACATTGCATCAGCTACCACATATAGTAAACAGATGCATTTATGCATTTTTGAAAAAAATATATTCTAGAATAATCTATATTTTTGTATTCATACTTAACCTGTAAAAAGTAATTGATTTGTATATTATATGATATATTTAGATGTTATTTCACACTAAATTTTAAATTAAGAACTATATAGTTACAGAAAATAATTCTAATTTTGACTTTAAAAAAAAGATTGTCTAAAAATTTTTGGTGAAGTAAAATTGATTTAGACCACTTTTACCACATTTTATAAAAAAGTGTTTCAATAAATATAAATCACTAGTTACATTTAAAAATATTGACTATTATCATGTGATGATTTTCTGTCAGATAATTAACTAATAAATTTTTATTGCAGGTGAACATCTAGTTTTGTCTGATGAATATTTCCAAGAAGTTAGACCAGGATTATCTAGTTACTCTGAGAATCCACACAAGGTAATTGATATTTCTGCAATTAAGGCAGTTTTCAATTTTTATTAACTCAATGTGAGTTGGCAGATTTTGTCATGTAATAAAATTATGCAAGATTAAGGATATTTTCAAAACTAAAATTTTAGCCCTAGAACAGAAACTTCAAGGACATTTTGCTTAAAAATGCATGCAAAGCAAGTCTGTAAAATGATGCTACAGAACAATTAAACTCTAATATAACACACACACACACACACTATTTAGTTTAATATATTAACATAAAAATTCATTCTGTACTTAATTTAGCATGTAAAGATATTTTATTACTTTAATTAAATATCATGTGTTTTTTAAAATAAAAGGATTCATTTATATTTTGAATATAATATATTCAAATTTTCAAATAATATATAAGTAATAACATTATTATTTGACAGGCTGCTGAAAGTATTGTACCATTGTTGGAAAGAGCTATACAAATTGTTCCATCTGATAAGTGGCATAAAACTCCTGTTCTGTTAAAAGCTACTGCTGGGTTAAGGTTACTTCCATCTGATTCAGCAGACAAAATTTTAAATGAGGTATATTATGTTATATAAAACATTATTTATAATAAAATATTTGTTGTTTTCTGTAGACATGTACAGAAACTATATGTAGACAAGTATATAAACACTAGATGCATCTTTTCAAAACTAATAGGATATTTTCACATGATATGGATATTTTTCTTACTTTTATATCCACAAGTTTCCAGAGAAGGTTCATACATTTTCTCAAACTGTGGCACCTTCGTTGTGCTGCCATTAAGATACCGCAAGAACTATATAACTGCAGACCTATAGAATTGAGGATATACAGGTATACCTCGACTTACGTTGTTTCAGATTATATCGTTCCCAATTATACGTTGTTCGTCAAAAAAGTATATGGAAAAATAAAAATGAAGTTTAAGTCACTTTATTCGACTTTGTCTGTCCGCCACAAATATTGAAGTCGTAACATCACTAGAAAAGCGTTTAAAGCACATAAAATTATATTAAAATATATACATTTACAAGTATGTACTATATTTACAGTACTGTACATGCATTTGTAAATTTAGAATACTTTATTTCTATACTATATTAAAAACTAAAATTTATTTGTAAGCTTAAAATAGATCCTTATTAACCATATATTATTAAAAATGCATTAATAAATAAAATACAGAACCGAAATGGTAATTTATAGTTTAGCCTAGTGACAAATAGATGTGGAGACAAGTAAGTTTAACTTACATCACCTCTCCTGGAACCAATTACCAACGTAAGGCAAGGTATACCTGTAATTGATTTTGAAATTACTAATAGAAATTTGTTCATAACACTCACTTTGTTTTTATATATTAAATTATAGAAAATATTTTTAATCGTTTTTACACATACAGGTATATCTCGCATTACATTGGTAATTGGTTCCAGGAGAACGACTTAAGTCGAAAAATGACGTAAGTCGAATTTACTTGTCTCCAAATCTACTTGTCACTAGGCTAAACCATAAATTGCCAATTCCGGTTCTGTATTTTATTTATTAATGCGTTTTTAATAATGTATGGTTAATAAGGATCTATTTTAAGCTTACAAACAAATAAATTTTAGTTTTTAATATAGTACAGAAAAAAGTAATCTAAATTTACGAATGCATGTACTGTAAATACAGTA